TGGTCCGTACCTACTTCTTACTTTATCTCCTCTATTAAAGAGATTTATAAAGATTTGTAAACCTTTTCCACAGCAGAATTCCAGGTTCTCAGATTCAATAGCCAGTTTCCCAGAACTACACTCTCTAGTGCAACAATTTTTAAACGTCATCACCTACTATAATAATTCTAGAGCAGTCTTCATTGCGGCGAAACTTCCCTGTTTTAACTCTAGTTCCAAAAACTAAAGCTTCAGTTAAAACAAGAAAAACTCCACACACTACACATTTACCTGTAAGACATTGTCTCCATCTGCATCCAAGGGAGCCTGCACTAATTTAATGTTGAACACGCTATGGGAACGGCTGGACTCACGATTCAAATGTGTGTTAGCAATACGTCTCTTTTTCTGGCCTGTGATGACAGAGACATCACTGATTAAACCTGAATTCGATCACTACAGTACTAAAAATTTAACTGCTGTTAAATTATAGTAGCAACTCTCAGGAGTATACTTATTGTTTCAGATTTTCTGAATGTTAGCGTGGTGTCTAACCTCTCCAGAAAACTTCAAAAGCCTCCTCAGTAGATTTCACTTCTACTTCTGTACATCCTGCAACATACATGTTATGGTTCTTATCTTCACGAAGCAATTTGGATTGTGGTGGTCTATGAGAAAGAAGAAACATTAGTCTCCTAAATTATGGGATACTAATATCTCAGTTTAAGACTAGGACTAAAATGCCAGGCAACATGACATCGATTCTTACAAGGGAATAAGCCTAGGCAAGAGCTCCGAAAGACATTAAACTTGGGTAAGTGTAAGGATGTATAGTCAAGATTAGTTGCATAACAGGAGAACAGGAACCTACACTGTTTTAGAAGCTTTGCTATAATTTGTTCTAATGAAGCACACAAAACACTTTCTAAACAAGTAGAGATCAAAATAGTAAGACGGCAACATCACATGCACAGGTTAAGCATCAGAATCTAGCTGGCATTTCCCTAATTGTAAAAGAGAGAGCCGGTCCCGACATCAGAGTCCACAGAAGACAGATTCGGGAAGAGTTTGGTTTATACCAGGAGTGGCAGTCCTTTCAGAGTGGCTGCTCGAGTTCCAGTCTGTACGGTAGGATAAGGATAGGAAGGGCGCCACCTGCTCGGCCTGCCTCATGCACGGTGGGGGCACAAGCGAGTGCCGGCCACCACTGCTCAGTGAATGGCAGGCTGCTGGGAAGCAGGGAGGGGCTTAGAGGCAGCAGGCAGCCCAGTGCCAAGGACACACCAGCTCCGTGCAGACTCGCCACAGATGCCAGCCGCTAGTACAACCACACCCTTCTCCTTAAGAAAAGAGTCAGCATGGTCACATACACAAACTCTGTGCTCCTCATGGGCGTGCTGCAGCTGTTCCACCTACCGAAGGAAGAGGGTGTGAGCTACGTGACAGTCACAGGATCGGCTCCTCAAAACCCTCCACTTGTAATGTTTCTTCATCGTATGTAAAAACACTTAAAAGTTAACCAGCTTGGAAGAGCCGGCTAAGCACCACCCTCACAAATTAAATCCGAATTCAGGGCCAAATACGCACCCGGTGGGTTCATTCAAGGAGTTACCAGAATGGTTGTTACAAAGCGTGCAAGGCACATTTGTCAGCCTTCCTTTCGTAAAACTACATAAAACCAAGACAGGCTTCTTTGAAAATGATCGCATTTAGAACCCACCAAAAAAGAACCTTGGCACGTGAGCAAAAAGGCAAGGGATCGGTAGCAACGAATGTCATCACAAAAGTTTAGGAAAATGGGTACACGTGACCGATACTCTGAAACAAATGGGAAAGTAAGTAATCTGTACATTGTGTAATGGAATTTATTAAATTCTTTCAGTCTGATGGTTTTCTAAATATCCAGCTGTTTCTCCAATAATGTTCAATTAGACACACACACACACACACACACAAGTCTACATACTATTTATGTTCTGAGAGGCTCTAACAAAGACAGCATTGAAGATAAACATTTAGCTTGAGAACAAAACCATCAACTCAAGAGCAAGATACTAATGTTAAATGAGACTCCAGAGTCTGCTCTGGCACAGGCGTGGATTGGGATGCCAGGCTGGAGTTGTTCTTCAGTCTGAGCAGGCCAAGACCCAAGGAAATCTAAGGAGTTGTCTTTTAACTCTGGCAGAGATATGCTACAGATCACTTCCTGTGTATGAATCAGTGATAGAAGACCTGTATTAGTTGTATAGACAATAGCTTTGGGCTCCTCCCTGTAGAGGTCACCGACCACAGATGGTTAATGTGGCTACAAACTCCCGACACTAAGTATTCGGTTCTTGAAAGGTAATGGCAGGTAACCCTCACCCTTAGGACACTTCCTTATGTGATCACGATCCTTCTCAAGATAATAGCCCCGAGGCCAAGAGTTTTCAAAAGTAATGTCTAAGGTGAGTATTCAGGTCTCTCTTCTCCTTAGACACCTTAACCCCCTGGTGCCCTGACACAGCTGCAGATCCGGTCAAGAATAAAACTATGCACCGAACACCAACCGTACGATACACAAGTTACCTTTCATTTTGAAAACAAAAGCACGATTACCATTTATCACTGAGGAAACTAAAGCTCACTGAGGTCGAGTGGCTTCCCCAAGGTTAAACAGCTAAGATGGGACTCTCTCCACTACTTACTTAGGCTTTATGGGATCAAACGGCACCTCTTCCAACAGATCATATATGTAATTGTTATATATTTCAATATACGAGACAAATACACCATAGACACTGTCTTCATCGACCTCTTCTGCTTTGCAAAATTCTTGTACGTTTATCATATCTGCAAACTCTGGGTCTACTTGTCGTCTGAAAAAAGAAAAGGGCCATAAAATCTGCTTACTCATTGTGAGTCGGAATCAAAAGTAAAGATCCCAAGAGGAAACAGAGAGAGAACGTAAGCGGCCTGTCACCGCAAACAGCAGTGTGTAAAGCAGTCTGTCCATGCTCCTGGTCAGCCGACAGCACTGCTGTGTCCTCCCGCAGACACACGGCACCGGCTGTTATACCCTCTCCACCAAGAGCGGCACCTTCTCTAAACAGTAATTCAAGAACACTGTGCTCAAAACCAAAGAGGACATCTGAGCAAATAAACTTAATTAAGAACATTCCTCAACTTTGATCTCACTGCAGTCAACCATCAGACCAACCACCCTTCACTTTCACCATCCCGGGTGCCTGAGGAAACCACCAGACAGGGTTCCCCTCAGACCAGTGTCACATACAAATGTAATTACTTACTTGCCAGAGGGGGTCTTTGGATTGGGCATGGCTTCCCTTTTCTGCCGTTCTAACAAGGCGTCAACTTCACACTGTATATCCATGCTATTCCGGTCATTAGATTTAAAAACCTGAAGTGGAGGGTAAAATCAGACCATGATTTTTAGATTTGACTTAAGTAGTAAGAGACCTAGTTCAGAAATAAGAAACATTTACTATGTAAGGTTTCAGAATGTACCCAGTTTATTAGGAGTTCTCCCTTAACCCTATATCCACAGGAGATCCATAGATCTCCGTATCTATGCCCTCAGGTGAACTAGTCACAACACAAAAGAATTACACTTACATATCGTTTAGCTTGAAATGTGCCTATACTGTTAAAGATCATGTCCAAACAACGAGGAAGCAGACCTCCTTCCCCTGGAGAACCAGTCATTGTGTGAGTTTTTCCACTTCCTGTCACACCATATGTAAAAAGGAGACCTACAATGTAGCAAGTCACATCGAGTTATATATTAAGTCCTCCGCTCTTTTTCCTTCTTTCATAGCATTAAAAAACACGTAAAATTAACCAGCTCAAAAAAACAGGGTTTATACCACCCTTAATGTTTTATGCCACATTTAACAAATGTGAGTTCAGGACCAACCATAATCAAATACCTAAGTATCAAAAGAGTTTTATGAGGCAGACAGAAAGGAAAACGCAGTGAAAACTCCAGTACCCGTACCATTTTTGCCATGAATGAGGTCATCTACCAAGGGATTAGCCACAACATCAAAGAGCTCCTTCTGGGTGGTATGAGTGCCAAATACTTGTTTAAATGAATACTGAGTCTGTGGAGAAGGGAGAAATAAAAAGCATATGAATGGCATTGCACTCTAAGCTAGAAATACATCTGTTTTAATGTATTCAGATGTTGCTTTAAGGTGTAGACAGAAAGAAAAACCATGAAGTTTTTAAATTTGGAACCCTTAAAAAAGTCATGATGTACCTCAATTATACCACTTATAAATGATAAAGATTACAGTTATAACTACTGAAGAGAATGTAGAAGTCTTAAGCCCACTAACACATCACAGACCACGGCAGATTTTAGACGACAAAGAGCAAAAATGACCATGACTCAGTTACGAACTTGTGAAAATCATCGGGGATTATTACTCCATACACTACTTTGCTCTTTTAAAATGACACAGCAGTCAGGGCGCCTGGGTGGCTCAATCGGTTAAGCAGCCAACTTCAGCTCAGGTCGTGATCTCACCATTCACCGGTTCGAGCCCCACATCGGACTCTATGATGACAGCTTGGAGCCTGGAGCTTGCTTCAGATATTGTGTCTCTCTGCCCCTCCCCTGCTCACACACACTCTCTGTCTCTCTCTCAAAAATAAATTTAAAAACATTAAGAAAAAAATTTTTAAATGGCACAGCAGCATAAAACCAAGTGTCTTATTGTACTGTTTTAAAACCAGAAATGAACTATAGATTTAATTTCCTGAGTTCTTCTATAAAATTTTAAATAAATTGTGACCTTGAAAAAAAATCACTTCAATTATCAAATCTCTATCAAAATAGGATTATTACAAAGTTATAATCATAGTACCAAAACTATTACCAAACTCCTACCTGGAATATTAGGTTGGGGAATATAAGTATATTTTAATGTCAATTAAATTGTCCTAACTGGGCAGGGGCTGGAGTTCTATTATTTCCATTTTTGTTATTTTTTAGTTTTTTTGTATTACAGACCTTGCGGTTTTGTCTGTGACCTTCTTACAGGTTTTACTTCATGAACGTCAGTGCTAGGTTATTTGTTGTATAAGTATTTGCTGGAATTTATTACGGAGTATAACCTTTGTCAAGCGGGACCGCCTTTCCTGTTTTGTACCCTTTTCCTTAAATTCAGCCTGCACAGATATCACTATCACAACCCTTACGTTTTTTAAAGTAGCAGTTTCGTCCCCCCAAGAGGAGACACGTACCGATTAGTACTCAAATATATAATAAGACAGCAGCTGACCCTGAGCAGTGGCCAGGCACTGCCTTCGCATGGCAGTGACTCGTCTCACTCTCACCTGTGATTACATACTGTGAATTATGTTCATTTTACAGCTCGTTATAGATCACACACACAGCCTGCTTCAGCTAGGCTAACTCTTCACTTTGCGGAAGTTTTTATCCTAATCCTGTAGATCAGTTGTAGAGTTCATAAGAAGTATAAAGAATCAGACCAGGAAGGACACACCTCAGATAGTACCAGCAGGTTAGTCAGATGACCTCCAAGTCCCTGTGAACAAACCCCTCCTTTCCAGTAAAGAAAAGCAAGGCCCAGGGCAGGCACCTGCCCAAGCCTACAGTGCTGACTGGTTGCAGCCATTTTCAGTCCAGCACCCTTTGCAATTTTCAGCCCTGCCTTCTGTCACAGGCAATGAGAGCTACTAATCCCCACCAAACTTTTTGTCTACTTATACATGCTTGAAAGTAAGTCCGATTAAAGAAGTGAAGTTCCTCCTAGTAAGTCAGCTCTCAACTATCTGACATCTTCGAAAACCCAGTCCTCCATGAAGCCTTTCCAGACCATTCGTGCTTCATCCATATTCACTGAATGGGGCACAGGGCAGAGAAGGTGCATATCCTTGAAGCTTACACGATAGCAGGGGAAAGAGACAAAAAACAAACCTCTAGATGCGGTAGGTGCTACCAAGGAAGCACATAAAGGGCAGAGCGGGAGAGAAGGGGCTAAGGTGTAAGGGTGCCACTTCCGATAAGGTCGTCTGGACAGTCTCTCTGAGGTGGCGATTTTTAAGCTGAAATCCAAAGATGAGGAGCCATCCATGCTAAGAGCCAAGAGAAAGAAAAGTCCAGGCGAAGAGAACAAGCCTGAAGCAGGATCTGGGCTTATCCAAGGAACTCAGAGGATTGGATGAGTACTAAGAGAGGAGGGTGGAGAAACAGGAGGCAAATTAAGCAGGGTTTTGCCCATTTAAAGACATTCTGCCTTGAAAGATTTTAAACAGGAAAAAGGTCAGATCGGATTTCTGCTTTAAAAGATCTCTCTGGAGGCTTTTAGAAAATGGACTGGAGAATAAGATTCAGAGTGGAAGCGAGCAGTCCAGTTAGATTTCAAAGTAGGGTCAGCAAACCAGTGGACCTCTGAGAACTGCTTGTTTCCTATCTAGGAGGAGATAATTACAGAAATGGAGAGTAAGTTTAGAAACTTCGGTAGCCACCTGACAGGGCTGCAGCATCCCCGCACGTGATCAGGAGGCTCATCTCGTTGAACAGATTGTAAGCTCAGTTCTTGATGGTCTCACTCAGATGGCAAAGCTGCACAAAAGGATCAGTCACGATGCACTGAAGATTTTAAAAAGCTGCTCCTTCAGCACCGATCATTTGAGAAGTACTAGTCTTGGTGATTCATAACAGGGCTGAGACAAGGGTGGTGGCAGTGGAGATAGAAACAAAAGGACAGTTTCACATTGGAGAAGGGCTAGAATCTACTGATACATGAGATACAAGGGGAAGAGACAGAGGTACCATTTATTTGGGAGAGAAGACAAGGGAGGAAGTGATTTAGAGGGAATGTGTAAAATTTCAGGTGCCTCCGTGACATCCAGACAGTGGACGTTTGACTTTAGAGCTGAGGACAGGTTTCGACTGGAGGTCAACTCCAGAATTATTGTCACATAACCAACATTTAAAGCCATGGGAAAGGGTAGAGAAGAGAGTCCTGGGTGAGGGCACCTCAGTATTGAGAGGTTGGAAAAGGAAGAGGAACTTGCAGAGAGTGGCCAGCGAGAGCCGAGAACACAGAGACTTGGACGGGGAGACGGCAGAGGGCTTCAGGAAGGAGGGGACTGCTGAGAAATACATTATGAGGACAAGAGGCGTCCGTCAAAATGTTAGTGGCCCGGAGACCACTGGTGGGCTTCCGACGGTTTCACAAGAGCAGTGTGCACATGAGTGAGACAGCTCGACAGTAGAGACGACGGCCCAAATAAACGTTTTCTTCTGCATTCCCACAGTCCATCTCTTTCAGCACACCTGTCTGTCTCCTATCAATACGAAGGTTACCTGTTTTCTGTCCGTGCCCCCAGTTAAGTTGTAAGCTCCATAAAGGCAAAGATTGTGTCTCACCCGTAAAATCTTCTGCCCTGCAGCTTTAGTGCAAGATGTTTGAACTGCATTCAACTCACTTTGCTCAAGATTTTACTAAAAATAACACTTCACAAGAGGTCGAAACAAAAACACAATGCCTATTGCTATTTTATTTTTAAATGTTTATTTTATTTATTTTGAGAGAGAGAGAGAGCAGGGGAGGAGTAGAGAATCCCAAGCAGGGTCTGAACTATCAGCATGGAACCTGATGCAGGGCTTGAACCCATAAACTGTGAGAGCATGACCTGAGCCAAAACCAAAAGTCAGACGCTTAACCACTGAGCTATCCAGGTGCCCCCGGCCATTGCTACTTTAATCTGCTTATGAAATTGAATATGTGTGTGTGTATAGCCACCTAGCACAATCATTCTGCATTAAACGATCCACCTAGCACAATCATTCTGCATTAAACGATCCCTGACATGCTCTAAAAAACAATATCCAGTACAAGAAATTACATTATAAAGGCAATCCTCTACCTCAAGGATACCAAACGTATGCCTAGCCACACTTTATATATGGTGGTTATAGGGAAGTAAACAAGTTTTTCAAAAAAGTAGAAACGTGAATTTTGTTAAATGGAAAAAAATGAAAAAGCCCTTCGGGAAAAATCGAGTAAATCATATCAAGTAAAAATAGCTTGGGTCCAATGGCAGTTACCTCCTTATAGTCTCCATTTCGGTTGAGTCTGTAACCCTCAGGAGTATGAAGTTGAACGGTCGTATTATTGATCACTTCTATGCAACACTCTTGATCAGGAAGGCTCAGTGGGCGCACCCTACAGTATACCTGAAAATACAGGAAGGGACTTTAAGAACAAAGGTTGACTTTTTACCTGACTTTTCATTTAAGCTTCCCATTTGTTCGTTCAACATTTGGTCTCTCGATATTAGAGATTCATATAAACTTAGAGCCATGAAAACCAAAACTTGCTACCAGAAATGGTCAGATGCACACAGATATATTAGACATTAGAGAGATTTTTAAATGCACCTACAGTTGAAGTAAATTTGGATAACAAAAGCATCAAAGTCACACAGCTTCTCTTCACTGTCGTGCAGGCACAAATTTAATAAAGTTACACTATTACTAATTTTAAAAATCTCTAAAATCAACATTACACAGTGAGAATTTGAAAAGCTGTTAGAATTGTTTGAAACTGAATGTCAAGCAAAACTTGACAGCTTAACACTCAATAAATATACAAATAAAGTATAAAGTGCAACATCCTAAACACATCTTCTCAATCAGTGATAGGGTTGAGGAAAAACTATTCAGCTTGCAAAAAGCATCTAGTTCTCTCAACTTAGAACAAGAGACACATTCCTGTGCCAGTGAAGGACAGACCGAAAATATCTGAGCAAATCAAACTAGTATTTTTTGCATTTGACTTTAAAAGCAAGGTCCCAGGTCTGAAACTAGTGAAGTATGTGCAATTTTGAGAAGTTAACTAGACTGAATTTAGCTATTCTACAGCAGTCTTTATGAAGCATGCCATCAAGTACTATTTAATGGTGGTGAAATGGGGAGGACGCTCACTGGAGCAGAAATTCCTACCTCCAGCCGAGAGTAGGAAGAATTCTCTGGGACAGCTGAAGAACATTTTTCATCATCTAATTGTTCAAATCATAATTAGTTACAGGAGTTATGCAATTGACAACCAAAGACTTCATTTTGCTGGACTAAAGAATCCTACACGGAGACAAAATCTCAAAGCTGAGATCTCCATCCCTTCCAAGCACACACAGAAGACAGAAAAGGACTGAAGAAAAAACACACAAACAAATTCACAGAGAGACCTTACCCCAACTGGGTCTTTAAGACTCGTTTGGGATCCTTTCTTCACTAGAAGTTTCCTGGGCGTCTTAGTCCTCCTGGTCATGGGTTAAAAAAAAATTCTGTTCAAACTAACGTACAAAAACCTCACCTGTAATTCACAGGGAGATAACCTTCCTAGAGCTTATAAAGTTATCCCTTAGCAGTTCCAAAACCTCACCCCCCAAATAACATAAGAATATGCTGCATTAGAAGAATGTGACACACATAATGCAGAAGTAAAACTGGGTTTAGGAGACATTTTTGGTTCTAGATGTGCCTACTTACTGTTTGAGTAGTTCTATATTTTAAGTAGTTTGCATATTTTCTTGAACAATTTTACAGAAGCATGACAAAGCTGAAAAATCTACAGATAATTGACCACACTCATTTTGAAGGCACTTATTTATGCGCACAAGCACACACCGCTCTGACGGCCCTTGCCAAGGCAGACTGACAAGCTATTGACTTCACCAAATTATAAAAATGCAGATGGAGGGGCGCCTGGGTGGCTCAGGTCATGATCTCACAGCTTGCGGGTTCGAGCCCCGCGTTGGGCTCTGTGCTGACAGCTCAGAGCCTGGAACCTGCTTTGGATTCTGTGTCTCCCTTTCTGCTCCTGCCCAACTCATGCCCTCTCTCAAAAATTAACATTAAAAATTTTTTTAAATAAAAATAAAAATGCAGATGGACGGATCCATTTTTTCATCAAGATCAAGGTCTATACTTTTAAGGAACAACTGTTTATTGAGTTCTCCACGCTATCATCCTTTGTCCCCAAACAAAATTTAGTCTCCAAACTGCAATTTCTCTTGCTCTCTTAGAAACAAAGGAAAAACATATTTTGACTTCAGTTCACCAATTTCTCCAGCATGCCCCTTTCCTCCACCAACCCCCACATTTATCTGTCGTGTAGATGAACACTTAACATCAAAATTAAGTGAAATTACTGGCAGGGGCTACGGATTATTAAAATATTTTCTCAACATGTTCCAAGATGAAACAAATTAGTGTTTTAAGTACAAACTATTACGGTAGGTTTACTTAAACTCAACTTTTTTTTTTTTTTTTTTCTTTTTTTTTTTAAGATAAAGATTTTGACTTTGGCCTCAAGAGAACAAGCCGCTTTTTGCAAATGACAGCCCTCCCCTCCGCGCAGGGATTGCTGTACCCAGAGCGGTGAGTGCTCGGGGCAGCGCAGCAACGCAGGCCGACTGCGGGGGGGGGGGGGGGGAATGTGGGCGTGGGCGCCCGTGGGCGGAGCGGGGCTGTCAGCGGCCCCAGAAACTGGTCTCCGTCTCAAGGCCACCGGCTAGGCTCAGAAAAGCACGCCGCGCTCCCGGGTGCCAGGGCCCTCCAAAGACCGAGGCCTCCTGGCGCCCTCAACCCCGGAGCACAGCCCGCGCGCGGGGAGACCCCCCGGCCCGCACTACCGCGGCAGAGTGCAACCCGGACGAGCGGGCGGACAGGAGGGAAAGGGCTGGGGGCGGCGGTCCCGGAACCAGGTGGATGGCACCCCGGCTAACGGGGACTCGGGTCGCGGCACAGACCTCCCCGCTCCCCCCGTGGGCCGACCTTTCCTGCCCCCGGGAGGCCGGGGCGGGACGCCGGGCTCCGGGCGGCAGAGGGCGGGGTGGAGGCTGGAGGGCGCGCCGCGGCCGAGTCTCCGCGCCCGGGCTCCCCCTAAGCGGCCCACGCGGGGGCTCCCACTTTGGGGGGCAGCGGCCCGGGCCACGCAGGGCTCCGTGCAGACCGCGCGGCCGGCTGCGACGGGAGACGCCGGCCCCGGCCCGGCCCGGTACTCACGCTGGCTTCATGGCAGCGGGCTCCGTGCTGCCCGGAGGCGCGCGCGGGACGCCGGGCTCGATCTGGCGGGCTGGCGAGGGCGGCAGTCCGCAGGGACGGGCCACGGGAAGCGGGACTCCACGGCTCAGGCGCGGCGCTTCGAGAAGCCGGTCGACGCCGCCGCGAGCCCAGGTGAGCTCGCGCCCGGCGCATTTCAAACGGGCCAATCAGCGCCCGCCCGCGGGGAAGGGGCGGGGCCTCAGAGGAAGTGACTGCTCTGCCGGAAGTGGCGCTCGTCTCCTAGGCGACCGCGGGAGTGAGGCGCGAGTTGTCTGCGTCTCCGGGCTGCGCTCAGATGTAATGAAGTCCATCCCCTTCCATTTTCCCATGAGGAAACTGAGGGCTTATTTTACTACAGTACAAGAAGTCCAGCGGAAGGGCCAGTCCAGCGTGCATTCAGAGGTCAGCGGGGTTCCCGCACAGGAGTGTCCTATTGTGCGGTGCCCTGCACAGCCAGACTCCGCGTCTGGCTTCCATATCACCACATCATGTTGGCGTCCTCTCCCCCCTTCACGTTTCCTGGGTTCTCCCTCCCTGGTTCCTCCAGCTCTATCTTATACATACATTCTCTTATCAAATTATTTTCTCTTTTATCACATTCTTAACAATGTTTGATCCTGAGCATTGCTAAAAAGAAAACCACTGGCCCAAGATGGAGTCCCTTATGCTATGCCAGGTCACCAAACCGGGGCTTAATATCTTAATATCTTAATGTCTTAATATCACCTAAGTGTAGTTTCTACCCCTCCCATAAACGTACTCTGAACCGGTCAGTCAGGAACTTTCTGGTCCGCACCAATGAGGTAATCTGACGCAGGGGCCCTCTGCGTCTCCCCTCTCCCCTTGCCCCCTACCAAAGGAAGATGAGATGACCTTCCAAATAAGACCCCTGCCCTCCCCGCTTAGGGATGGTGACCTGGCCTGAAACAATCCTGACTTTTACCAGTAACTTCCTTACCCTACCCTCCTTCCTATGGAAGCCTTACATTTTGTATGGCTCCTGGGAGCATCTCTCTGCTTGCTAGATGGGATACTGCCCCATTCATGAATCGCTTAATAAAACCAACTTGATCTTTTAGATTCCTTGGGTGAATTTTTAACAGCCTATAGAGATGAATAAAGTTTGGTCCTCACTCTTGAGGAGCAATGTCCATCCACTCTTTTCTAAGATGAACTAATTCTATCCCATTTCAACATTTGTCACTAACCTCATGACTGTCAAATCTGCATCTACATCTGTGCTCTCATGGGACTCTAGTCCCAGCTCCTCAACCAGACACCAGTTAAATGGACAAAATTTAACATCCTTGGCCCATATTATGTGACATAAAGGTGGTTTTTCCTAATGCTTTTATTGCTTTGTTTGTTGTTAGAGGACAGGTTGGGACCTGTATTATTTAGGAATTAGGCGTGGCCATTTGACTACTTCTTAGTTACCCTGCAATCTGGCGTTGGCCTCAGTCTCTCCATTAGAACTCTTCTCACTGAGACCACCACCTCCTTGATGCTAAATCTAATTGACCCTTCCATGCCCTTCTCTTGGCCTCTCAACAGCACCGAAAATATTTCTCATTCCTCTCTTACTATGTCTTCATTTTCCTCTCCGAGCTCTCTAAGCGCCCCTCTTTCACGGAACTCATTTGTGAGTTCCTTTTTTGTGTGTGCGTAAATGTCGTAGCTTAGGGTTTTGACCTGGTCTCTACTTAGTGAGGACTCTCCTCAGGCACTCCCAACCACTCCTGCGGCTTCACACACCAATCACATTTGTTCTTCTGAGCTCCAGACATTCTCCACTTGGGTGTCCCACAGGCACCTCATACCTAAGGCGCCCTAATCTCTTACCCCGAGCCTGCTCCCCCTCAGTGGATGGGTGACACACCATCTACCCAGCCACCCAAGCCAGAGTCCCAGGTACCATCTTGGACTTCTGCCTCTCCTTCTGTTCCAACATCCACTCACCACATCTTGACAGTTCTACCTACCAAAGAGCCTTCACACCTCTCAAACGCTGTTCTCTATCCCCTTGGCTACTCCTATCATTTGTCTGGATGACTGCAACAGTACTCTAACAGGCTTTCCTGCTGCTGCCTTCCAAACCTGCAGCCCGTTCACCTCTAAACCACAGATCTAGTCATGTCACTCCCCTGTGTAATGCTCGTCACACTGCAGGAGCTCCCCAGCGCCGGACACCCTCACAGGGCCCTGAGGCTCTTCCTCTCCAAGCCCATCCCTTATTATGACCCCCTGCACACACTCCCTCCGCTGACAAGCTCTCCTCCCCGCCTTATTATGCATCCTTATTCTCAGTTCTCAGCAGACCTTCTGCCAACGACTTGCCCCTGGATGCTAGATCCCTACTGTGTACCCCCAGTCCCCTCCACCCTGCCAGCAAGCTGTTGGTTTGCTCCAGAGCGCCCGTCCCGGTTTGCTCACTGTTCCTCTACTAGCTTATCCCCACAGGCTCACTAGGTGGCACTGTTGCACCCTTAGTGCCGCGCCATGGAGGCCCCCTGGTAACTGTCTGGGAGGAATGGATGAATCCATCCCAGTGGAGGACCCAGTTCCATCAAGCCCCACCCCAGCTTTTCTTCAGGCCACTTTCTTCTTTCTCCCTCGCCTCTATCCGTACTAAAGCTCTCTAGCTTGTTTGCTTTAAAATAGAAAATAGAATAAAAACCGTCACCTCACACCTAACACGTTCTTCTCTCTCCCCTGCCTTCCTCTCCCCTCTCCCCCCCTCCCCTCCAACGGGCTCCCCATAGGCAGTAAAAGATTTGCATTTTCCCCTAGAATTAGAGATCCAGACCAGGGGGAAGGGTAAGAGATGGGGAGGGAGTAGAACCCAGAGGCTTCTACCAAAGTCAGGGTTATGGAGGTACATTCTGTATCCAGCAAAATCCACCCTTCTTGGTTGTACCGTGTGCATGGATTTAACAAACACACCATCCTGTAACCACCGCCACCATCACTGCAAAACTTTCTTTGTGCTGCATTTTTGTAGTCCATCACCTTCCTCTACCCCCAGCCCTCGGCAAGCGCTTTTCTGACTTCCTCCCTTAGAGTCTTAACTGTTCCAGAACGTCTCTTCTTTAGCTGGGCAAAATGCTCTGGAGATTCAACGCTTTTGAGTTGCACGTATCGATACCATGTTTCCTTTTTACTGCTAAGTAGTAAATCCCCTGTAGGAATGCATGACAGCTCATCCATCCGCTAGCCCGTTGGACGTTCAGGTCGTTTTCACCTTTAGGCAATTATGAATGAAACTGGTATAATTATTTGCATAAAGGTCTTTATGCAGATAGGGATCTTCATTTCCCTTGGGTGGGATTGCTGGTCTGACGGTAAGTATAACTTTATAAGACACTGCCAAACTGGGCTGGAGGGTCCTATGCAAATCACTGGAGAGAGGCTGACCCTACACGGATGGAAACCAATATGATTAACCCAAACACCCACATGAACAGCTGTGGGAACCTTGTAACAGCCAGTGACCGGAAAGGGCTGAGGTCTAGCGTGTTTGAGGGAAGGTGGTAAAAATGAGGACAGGATGACTGTGATACACCCAACGCTCAATGCGAGGAGCTGTCTCCCTGACCCTCCCTGCTGTTCACACTCAAGAGCTTAGGCTGCATCATCTCACATCCACAGGCCATGCGACTCTCCCCAGGCCATTTGAAAATGAATGGATGTTAATGTTTTACATACTCAAAAGACAATAAAATCAGCAATCTGGGGGAGGGTGGGGTGTTGTAGAATTGATACAAAAAGAAACAAATGATCTGAACCATATTTCAAATGAGTAACATACACATAAAGGGGCCATAACTAAGCCGAGTAATTTAGACTATTGAGACTATATGCCCTCAGGCTCCAGACAAAAAGAACTTGAAACATATATTGGATTCTAATTAGCAAGCCTTTTTGCCGGCGTGGGTTAGTAATTTTGAAATGACATTCTGTACGTTCTAAGATTGAGCAAATAATATATTGTGGATAATGGGAGCCAAGTTTCTCTCTGTTAGAGATGAGAGTTATATACATATCAAAAGGGGGAAGGATGAAAAGTACCTGGGAATTGTTTTTTAAGATTTTATTTTTATTTATTTTTATTTATTTTTTAATTTTTTTTCAACATTTATTTATTTTTGGGACAGAGAGAGACAGAGCATGAACGGGGGAGGGGCAGAGAGAGGGAGACACAGAATCGGAAACAGGCTCCAGGCTCTGAGCCATCAGCCCAGAGCCCGACGCGGGGCTCGAACTCCCGGATCGTGAGATCGTGACCTGGCTGAAGTCAGACGCTTAACCGACTGCGCCACCCAGGCGCCCCAAGATTTTATTTTTAAGTAATATCTACACCCAACATGGGGCTTGAAACTACCATCCCGAGATGGATAGTCACATGCTCTACCAGCTAAGCCAGCCAGATACCCCAGTACCTGGGGATTCTTCATACTACTCAATGTTTTTCCAAATCTGGAAAAAAAAAAAAAAAAGAATGGTTGGACTAGTCTTTTCTTAAACTGCCTTATGTTAAAAAGCACTTGGGGGGCACCTGGGTGGTTCAGTTGGTTAGCTTCCAACTTCAGCTCAGGTTATGATCTCACAGTTCATGAGTTTGAGCCCCGTGTCAGGCTCTGTGCTGACAGCTCAGAGCCTGGAACCTGCTTTGGAGTCTCTCTCTCTCTCTTTCTCTCTCTCTCTGCCCCTCCCCCACTCACACTGTCTCTTTCAATAAATACACATTAAAAAATTTTTTTTAATTACTTGGGGCTTTTGATAAAAATGTAAAACTCTAAGACTACTTTTCCCTCCCAAGGTATGCTGCATCTGTCCATTTGGGCCTGACAATGTGCATTTTGCATCATCAAACACATTTAAAAATTTATTTATTTATTTGTTTATTTTGAGAGAGTGAGCGAGCAAGTGCAAATGGGGAGGAGCAGAGAGAGAGAGAGAGAGAGAGAGAGAGAGAATCCCAAGCAAGCTCCACCCTGTCAGGGTAGAGCCCAATTCAGGGCTGAAACTCAAGAACCATGAGATCATGACAGGCAAAAATCAAGAGTCGAGGCTTAGCCAACTGATCCACCCAGGTGCCCCCATCATCAAACACATTTTTGAAACGCTGGATTAAATTATCTTTGAGGTACGTTGTTCCATGCTCTACAGGAGGCATGAATTAAGCCAATTTTAGAAATTTGTTGCCCAGAGTGAAGAGAATGGGGGTAACGACTCTCTATTTGCCTGAAATATATTTATTACAGAGTTGAAGCATTCATACAAGTACCAAGAGCCCATAGGAAAGCCTCTTGGACAATCTCCTGGGAAGAACATGCAGGAGAAATCCCAGAATTCTTTGAAAGCCAAGTGATCCATACATTATCTAGAGTTACACATTTCAGGAATAAGTGGCTTGATTTCCATCCTTCCAATAGGACCAAGTGCCTACTGGTCTGGGGGCCTTTGCCCATACACCATCTGACCTGAAACACCTACCCCACCACACACTGGCAGGGCTGGCCCCTTCCTGCCCACCAAGGCTCTCGTCAAACGTCAACTTCTCAGAATGGCCATCCAATCTCACCTGCCCTATCCCACCCATTTCTATATCTTCACCAGGCTTCTCTTCTTTATAGCACTTACCGTTATCTGAATTTATCTATCTTTCCCTACTGACAGTCACAAGATTCACTCCATGCAGGAGTGTTCATTCCATATACACCAGGCACAAAATAAACATTCATTGAATGATTTAGCAATGTACACATGTACAGGAATCTATTTCTTAAATTTTTTAAGTTTGTATATTTATTTTGAGAGAGAGAGAGAGACAGTGAGTACACAAGCAGGGGAGGGGCAGAGAGACAGAGACAGAGAGAGAGAGAGAGAGAGAGAATCCCAAGCAGGCTCCACACCATCAGTGCAGAACCCGATGCAGGGCTTGAACTCACAAATCATGAGATCATGACCTGAGCCGAGATCAAGAATCAGACGCTCACCCAACTGCACTCCCCAGGCGCCCCAGGAATCAATTTCTTATGATGAACAAACATGTTTACAGTGTGGTAGGTGAAACATAACCAAATCAAGTGGGAAACAGGCCTTTATTATAATAAAGTTTATTTTTTTTCCTCCCATACAGTTTAAGAAAACCAGACATCAGTGTAAGTTGGAGGAACAGCTGTGTTCAGAAATGGGTCTTTGCCTTTTCATCCAATGGATTGTTGACCAGAAAATCAGAGGCTGGCATTCAACTAATATGTGATAAAGAGTTGTTATACAGTGTGACTAGGTGTTTCATATAGTACCATGGCCAAACAAATTTGGGACACAGCAGAGCCAAATGAAGGGTCTCTCCGACACATCTGATCACCCTGATCCACTGCCCCTTGCCTTCCGTAGAACTTCTCACGTGAGCTGAGCTCCACAACAAACACTTTAAGACGGCAGCAGGTCAAACAGGTCACTTTGTACTCAAATGGTTTCCTAAAACCTCCCACTTCTCATTCCAGTCGGTGACAGATTCGTTGCTCTCTAGAAACCGAGCAATGGAAAGCAAAGCTATGATGAGCGAAGGACAAGGCGGTTAGCTAAACGGCCTCATTCGAGTACATTCAAGTTTTATCACCACCGTGGCATCTGGGAAATTTGGGGGGCAGTGTTTCTCATGCAGGGGGAGGAAGAAGAGGGTCATCCCATTAGGAGTTTGTCACCCCCCACAAAATCCTCTTTGAGATCGTGCGGTGGCGAGCATTGCTACCGATGGGAGTATGGCACATTTCCAAGGTGTATTGAGACAATAAAAACCTGAGGGCCGCTACATGAAAAGACACCTTCCCAGTGAGCTCTCCAGCTCACCCACTGCCAACCTTTTTGCCTTTCCTTTTTGACTTTGGCTTAAGCAAACCCACATTACACTTAATACCTAATGGTAATTAATATTTTTGAACCCACTGTCTGTATCTAGAAGCTTCCAAATCAGCCCATTGCAAACTGTCATCCAATTTTAATTGGTAACACTGTCCAAATGTATACAGTGGGACTGAGTTTGCCAAACGTATAAAAACATTATGAAACACCGGTCTTCTTTCGTTGATGTAACATTTTCTTTCCCATCATTAAGGATGGCGAAAAAGTCACATCACCCAAAATTAAATAATCTGAAGGTCCTTCAAATTAATCACCTATAACTTTCAACTATTTCTGAACTAAACAAACATTTTCCTCTCCCTAAACAAAAGAGATGTTAAAGAGCTTCATGTCTTTGGCACCTGCTAGAATAGGGTATTTAAACTCTGTGCCTTTTTGCAGCATAAAATTGAAGTTATAGCAAGGCGAAACGGGTGCCCACAGACCCTGCTGGAGTAAAATTCCACTAGGAGTGTCAGATTATCGCCCCAAACCAAATTTTGTCATGCAGCGGGCAATTAATGTACCAAAAATTTACCAGCCCATATAATTTTATCAGTCTACCTTTCCCCAGAGGAAGTAAATAAACAGTAAAACTAATGAAATCATATTTCTTGACCACTCTGAGCCAATATAAATTTTTACTTGTCCTCAGAGGGTTGGACGATGAGCTATTCGTGAGGCCATTCAAGTTTCTGGGCCAGTTACCACAGAGGCAGTATTCTAAGTTTTGAGGGTGTTCCTGAGTCAGCAAAGAGGATCCTGCTTTGTGATGGACAGCCCCTCAAGTCATTAGCAAGTGCAAATCAGGGGTTGATGGGCATCTGCTACAGCTTTGCATCAGCATTTCTGAACTCTCTGAAAACAGCACGAAATAGTAAACTTTAACTCCTAAGGCCACAGATGAGAAAATGCTCAGTGTGCTACTCTTGTGCAGAGTAGACAGCAGAGGATACATCCTTAGGTGGTGAGTTGCTGAAAATTAGGTCAACTGCAACAAAGCTGAGAGGCCCAGTGCCTTCTGGAACTCATGACGCCAGCATTTTTCCCATTTGGCCTGTGGCCCTTCTGCATTAGGATCACCTGGGGACTTCCTCAGATTCAGGGCAAATCTCCTCCAAAAGACCTACATCTTCAACTACTAACACAGAATCCCCTGATTTGGCCTGGGAATCCGCACTGGTCGCCAACTCACCAAATGTGTCTGATTCGCAGCAAAGCTTGAGGATCACTGTAGTTGACCAACCCTTTACAAGGTCTTTGACATCCTCTGCCCAGGAACACTAAACTTTGCAGCACCTTTGAAATGCTGAAGCAATATTAAATGGATAGCATCCCCAAATAGAGCCATGCCATTGGTTCACACAGTGACAGATGAGCACAGCCAACTGGAATTAGCTCAGCCGGCTCCCATGCCTCACACATTTGACCTGCACTGCATAACACTTTGCAGCATCGAATCGGCAACGAGAAAACAGAACAGAACAGAACACAGACACCCAGCCATGTGGCCTTCAGAGAAAATCCAAATCCACGTGACATGGGAATTGGCACTTTAAGGCACAACAGACTTGTGGGAAAGAGGACTCTTCTGTTCATTCATTCAGTCCCTTCACTAGGTGGGGAAAGGAAGAAGCCCCCTCCCCAAAGCAGGTCTCTTCATCCTGAAGTGTCTCCCCAGTCCCCAGGGCTCCCACAGACCCAGCTTCCTCTTACTCCACCCCCTCCACACACCCCGCTGATCTTTCTGGCTCATTCTCCTCCCACCGTGGAGGTCTTGGCAGGAGCTGTGCCATGTGGGACTCAACAAATGAAGCAGGGTCCGTTTTCAAAGGGTAACACTACAAGAGTAGTAAAGCTTCATCCGGCCACTTAATAGGAAGGCTTCTAACTGCCTTATTTTAAATAAATTTAAGACGTAATGAACTATTAAGGATTCGCCTGAACAAGGACTTACTTGAACCCATCTTCCCCTTTTAAAGATCACAATTATAGAATAAGTGCACATTGAGAGACATTTCCCCAGTTAAATACCTTATTGACACGAACGCACTCAAAAATGCCAAGACGTCAACCACCGTGAATATTTTAGACCTTGGTAAACAGGTACCACTAGGCACTTATGGTGCTTAGGAGGTTGTAGCTTAATGTTGACATCTGGCATGAAAAGCTTATGGTCTGAATCATGTTTCTTTTTTATGTAATTCTGGCTCGGGAATCCGATACAGAGCAGCTGAGAAATAAATTATGTTGCTGAGGCTGAAGATGAGGCACAGAAGTACAGCTCCAGCTATCTGAGGGAAAGACAGGGGCCTGGAGTTGGCCAGGAGCCATTCCCTCCTCAGAGTCTTGTCCAGAACAATGGCTTCCATCTGCAGGTGTGTGGCCAGGATCACACACACGTGGAACAGCTGGTGACTGTGACCTACGGTGAACACAGAAAAGGCTGCCAGGATCAGCAACAAAAAACGAACAGGGGCCCCTGGGTGGCACAGTTGGTCAAGCTTCCAACTCTTGATTTCAACTCAGGTCATGATCTCAGTTTGTGAGTTCGAGCCCCGCATTGGGTTCTGCGCTGACAGGGCAGAGCCTGCTGGGGATTCTCTCTGTCTCCCTCTCTCTCTGCCCCTCCTGTATCTCTCTCTCTCTCTCTCTCTCTCTCTCTCTCTCAAAATCAATAAACTTTTTTTTTTTTTAAAGGAATAGACTGCTGATACTGTTCCATGGTGTATAGGCTAAAAACATTATGCTGGGTAAAGAAGCTAGACACAAGGGACCACATATTGTCAGAATCCATTTATATCAAATGTCCAGGAAAGGCAAATCCACAGACACAAAGTAGGTTAGTGGTTTCTTCAGGCAGGGGGTAGGAATCAGGATTAATAAGACATGGGCAGGAGGGATCTTACTGGGGTGATGATCATGTTCTAAAACTCATTTGCGATGATGGGGATTCAATTTGGGGGGTTAACTAAAAAGATCACTGAATTGTATCCTTGAAATCAGGGAACCATGTGATACGTAAAATATGCCTCAATGCATTTATTTGTTTTTTAAATGTTCATTTATTTTTGAGACAGCATAAGCAGGGGAAAGGCAGAGAGAGAGGAAGACAGAGAATCCCAAGCAGGTTCCTCACTGACAGCACAGAGCCCTACAAGGGGCCTGAAATCGCGAACCATGAAATTGTGACCTGAGCCGAAACCAAGATTCTGATGCTCAACCAACTGAGCCACCCAGGCGCCCCAACATTTTTTTTTTAATGCAGTGTGAGAAAAATTAAAAGGCCCGAGTACATTTTTTCAACTTGTCCACCAGTCCTGTTTTTCACGTGAAGTCTGGCATCATGTTCTCCCAAAGTTCACCTCTTCAGAGCCGGCACTCATCAGCTCCAATTCTGAGGCCAGCGGAGAAGCCAACCAGACTTTCTATTGGCCAGTTACAAGGTAGCCCTCTCCTTACTGCTGGTTAATCCCAGACATGACCAGGGGCTCTTCCTCCCTGATGACCTTCAGGACCTTGGCTCACCAGCTATGTGTCCACAGAGGGGAGGACCCAGCAGAGGGGGGTGGTAGTGGGCGGGAACATGCTGAGTTGGTAGTGATGGGAAAAAGAGTCCATTGCCCAGGGCCGAGGACTATTTGTGGGACAACCCTCAGAAATCAGACGATGAGAACAAAGACCGCATGTGTCATGGGCTGAGCTGTGTCTCCCTTCCCCCATTTCCAAATGTTGAAGTCCCAATGCCCAGTACCTCAGAATGTGACCGTATCTGGAGACAGGATCTTTTATTATTTTAAGTTTATATATTTATTTTGAGAGAGAGAGGGGGAGGGGCAGAGAGAGAGAGAGAGAGGGAGAGAGAGAAAATCCCAAGCAGGCTCCGTGCCGTTGACAGCAGTGAGCCTGATGTGGGGCTTGAACTCACGAACCACAAGATCATGACCTGACACTCAACTGACCGAGCCACCCAGGTGCCCTGTGACTGGTACCCTTCTAAGAGGAGGAAGTTAGGACCTGGGCATGAATGTACACAGAGGAAAGACCACATGAGGAGAGACAGAGAAGACGGCCGTCTGCAAGCCAGGGAGAGAGCCAGGAGAGAGACGGACCCAGCCCACCCCTTGGTCTCAGCCTCCAAAATTATGAGAAAATGCATTTCTGTTGTTTAAGCCACTCAGTCTGGGATTCTTTGTTATGGCAGTCCTAGCAAACACATACGACACAAGAGTTAAGGATTCTCTTTCATTAAAAGAGAGAGAGAGAGATTCCCGCAATCTGGCTGGACAGGAATATGGAGGAACTTCCTACGGGCAGGGCCAGCGCTAACCAGTTAGCACTCTGCCCCACGTCGGAGAGGGAATCCCACATCTGGCAGACCCCATTATTGTGGGACGGATCATTTTCCAAACCCGTTGTTAATGACCTGTCATTAACAGTTGTCTGGCAAATATCCGGCCAATGGAGGGGTGTCTCTGGGTTCTGTTCCCCTAGGCCCAAGAGAATGGGATTAAAAGTGAATAAATGAGGGGCGCCTGGGTGGCGCAGTCGGTTAAGCGTCCGACTTCAGCCAGGTCACGATCTCGCGGTCCGGGAGTTCGAGCCCCGCGTCAGGCTCTGGGCTGATGGCTCGGAGCCTGGAGCCTGTTTCCGATTCTGTGTCTCCTTCTCTCTCTGCCCCTCCCCCGTTCATGCTCTGTCTCTCTCTGTCCCAAAAATAAATAAACGTTGAAAAAAAAAATTTAAAAAAAAAAGTGAATAAATGAAATGTTATTAAGACACCAGGGAGTTGGTAAAACAAGGCCAGGGCTATTTTTTCCTGCAGTCCCCGGACTTCATTTACAACCACCGATACTTTGTCTAGGTGGGGCTCGGGAGGTGGACAGGGCTCCTGTAGACAAGTTCCAACTCCGTGGCCCTCTCGTCTCCCCCGCCCCCTCACCTTTTTGTTTGAAATTTGCCCTCCAAGCATTTTGGTCCTTGGCATCCCTTCTGGTAGGACAGAATTGAAGTAAAGGAGATGAAGCTCTTTTCAGAGCCAATAAAGCAAATCTGGCCACATGTCTTAGGTGGGAGCAGATGAAAAAAATCACTGGAGAAATGGGCTTGGGGAGAACCAGGGTCCCTGCCCACCATTTAAGGATAAGGGCTGACCCTTGAACCCCCATGACAGTGTATCTAGGGAGCTCTCATCTCAAGGAGTCCTCAGCGTCACCAGAAGTGGCCCAAGGGTCCCTCCTCCAGCCAGTGCCCGTGTCAGGCTCTGTCACTTCCCTAGACAGAGAGGGAAGGCACTCTCCCAGCAGGTAGAAGTCCTCTGGCTCTGACAGCTCCTCTCCAGCACATCACTTCTCTAACGGCGGTGAGCTCAGGTTCCCCTGGAGAGTCACCCAGCCTCTGAGTGAGACACCCCGAGCTTCTGGTTCAGGATGTCCGGGGGCCTGAGAATCTGAGAATTCCCAGATCATGCTAAATGCTGATGCTCCAGGGGCCACACCTGAGAACCAAGACTCCTGGCCCCACTGCAGCCACCTGAACGAGACGAAGACACGCTCCCCTCCTTGGCACAGCCCCCGCCACCTGTCAGCCTCGGGGCCATCCGCACTCGGTCTGTCTTGTTCCTCTCCAGGGCTGCCCTCGACGTCCATTTAATCCTGGGATTTCATCTTTGGGGTAATAACGGGACTCCCTAGGCCCCGTAGCCCACAGGAATGCCTTAGAATCCTAGATGCGCCTGCTCTCCATCCTCCCATCCTCCCTGGCCATTTGCCGGCTACGTACATCCTGGCCTCCACTGCCTGACGGTTTCACTTCCCCTGGCCTGCTCCCAGAGAAGCCCCTGGGGAGTTGCGTCTCTCCATGCCCGTTTCCCCTTCGAGACCGCGGGCACTGGCGTCCTGGTGGCAGGGAGACAACGGGGCCGCCGCGCACTCACCGATGTAGTCGAAGCGGCCAGGCGCCAGGCGCTCTGGCAGGTGTGCGGAGTAGAAGAAAGAGGCCAGGAGGGTCATGGCCGTGTGCCTCTGGTGGCACAAGGCGGCTTCATTCTGCGCACCGTCCCCCGAAAGCAGGAACAGCTGCAGGGATTCAGAGGAACATCAGGTCTCGAGAGGAGGCCCCCTTCCTTCTCCTCACCCGAAGCCATCTCTGCACACGCGTGCGGGCGGGCCCCACGGGCCAAGGCCCTCACCTCCTTGGTCTGTGGCTTGGAAGGGGAACTCTCAGGGACCGTGGGAGCAGAATTCCTATTCCTTTTTTTTTTTTAATATCAAAAAAAATTTTTTTAGGTTTATTGAGAGAGAGAGAGAGAGAGAGAGTGTGTGCAGGGGAGGGGCAGAGAGAAAGGGAGAAAGAGAATCCCAAGCAGGCTCCGCACTGTTAGCACAGAGCCCAACGCGGGGCTCAAAGTCACAAACTGCGAGATTATGACCTGGGCCGAAATCAAGAGTCGGACGGACGCTTAACTGACTGTGGCACCGAGGTGCCCCTTAATATTTTTTTTAATGCTTATTCATTTTTGTGTGAGAGAGAGAGCGCAAATAGGGGAGGGGCAGAGAGAGAGAGAGAGACCCAGAATCCGAAGCAGGCTCCCAGGCTCTGAGCTGTCAGCACAGAGCCCGAACCGGGGCTCGAACTCACAAACCACGAGGTTATGACCTGAGCCGAAGTCAGATGCTTAACCAACTGAGCCACCCAGGCTCCCCCATAATTCTGACTGTGATCTTTTGAGAGACCCAAGGCAACTGTATTTTATTTTATTTTTTCTCCCCGCAGGGCAGCTGTATTTTAATCCTCCAAACGTCCATAAAGCCTTTTGAGTTAATTACGGAAGAAAAGGAAAGAAATCGAGGAAAAGGAAAAGAAAAATCCTACTAGATCTATTTGCTACTCTTTTGGGGGTAAAATGTAAGTATAGTAAAAAGTGGTCTAGTCACCCTTGAACTCACTTCTCACCAGCGCATCCCCGGATTTCAAGCTCCTAATTAAGGCTTTAAAGCCTAGAAATCCCTGGAAGGCCTTTCTGAGTCATCAAAACGTGTTAATTACAGCCATTATCCTGTTTGAGAGCTAAGTATAGTTTTTGTATTACCGTTATAATGACAGCAGCCATCACTTACCTAGGGCACTAAGCCAGCCTTTTATTTGCACAATTTCATCACAGCCTCAACAACTACCAAAACATCCCACTTCGCCGATGAGGAAGCTGGGCCAGAGGGTGACTTGCAGACCACTAATCAGCAGTGAAGTCAGGCTGTGGATCCAGGCAGGCTGATTCCAGAACCGGTGCTCGTCAACCTCCCCGCTGGCGATCAGACCTCCCGGCCCCTCCTCCGCCCCGTGTCTGACTCAGCTGGTGCTCCTAATAACGCAGACCTGTGCTATGCGATTTGGTGGCATGTGGGAACGGCTTGCTCTGCTCTGGTTTCCTATGGGTGTTCTGTGTCGTGGAGGAAGGAGTCAGGGGAATGGGCCGCACCCACGCCTCTGGGTCTCCCCCCCCGCCCATCCCAGGCTCACACAGGTGGCACCGGCTCTGGCCCTCCCCTTCGGTCCCTGACTTGCGCATCAAACTTCAAGCTGCCCCTGGGAGGGAAACTCCACTCACTGGGTGCAGGCCCTCGGGCGGGCATCTGCTGATTTGATTAAACCCCTCTACCCCTCTGTGCGGGAGAGGATGTCAGCCTCATTAACAGATGAGGAAACTGAGGCTCAGAGAGATCAGGTGCATTCCCTAAGGTCACAGAGCCAGTGCGCGCTGGGATTTGAACTCAGGTCCATCCGATTTGTGAGTGCCTCTCCCCTTTCTTGTGTCCCTCCTACACCCCCTTCCTTCATGTTCTCCAATTCCCATCTATCTTACGACCTTCATTTATCCTTTCTCCTTCGCTGCTAGTATGTCGGTTGATGATAATACAGAATAAATGCATTTATTGGCCACTTGCCACGAGCCAGCGATCTCATGTAATCTTCCCCGCAGTCTGATGAAAGCAGGTGTTATTACCATGCCCATTTTACAGAGGGGGACATCAAGGCACAGAGATGGTACCTAACTGGCCCAAAGTCTTACAGCGAGTACGTATTAGAGATTTGCCTCCAGAGCCTGCTTTCCTGGTCGCCGCACTAAACCCCAGGCTGCCCTCCCTTCCCAGCCCTCCACGACTGCGTCTGAGCCCCCAGTCAGTGCTGGCCATTGATGCATCCCCTGTGGTTTGCCAGGGCCTTCATTCTCCTGCTGTGTCCTAACTACTAAGGGAGCCCCTGGGTCGTGGCTCCCACGTCCGTCCCTCGCAGCGACCAGCATGGCGCTCCGAGCCCCAGGAGCTCAGGAAACAATAGATTCCCTGGTGTTGCCAACAGGCAGAGAAAAGACGGAGCCGGGCCCTTACCCTGTAGAAGATGGGAAGGGAGTCCCAGGTGTAGGGATAAGCAAAGGCAAGGACGCGAAGCATCTTGCAGAGCCCGGGCCTCTGGACTTCAAGAAACCTAAAGCGGGGAAGGAAAGGGGGAAGACGTTGGACCGAAAACGGTTTCCGTGAATGACACACGTGCACGCACATGACAAATTACTGAGGGCAGGTCGTCCGCAGAAGAGAAGTCTTTTTGTACAACCTCCTCCGGAGGCCAGTGGCTCCCCCCCGACGGGCCTCTTCCACTTCTCCCAGCCCGACGGGAGTGACTCTGCCTTCGAGGAGAAAGGGTCTCAGGGGAAACCATCTCCTGGGGCCGCATCGTGAGGGGCAACGGTGTCCAAAGAAGCCAGGGAGGAGGTATTGGGCTGGGAAGGCCCTCTGGGAGGCAAGTTGTCGAACTGCCAAAGGGCCTTTTAGAAGTCCAGCAGCAACCAGGGTGGGCAGACGTGGGGGCATGGAGGGCCCCCAGCCCAGGCTCCGGGGGGCGAGCACGGCTGTGAAGGAGCCGATGTCAGCTGCCCCGGGTGCGTGCTGTGCCAAAGCCCTTGGTTTGGTGAAGTCTTTAATGACTTTGAGAGACTTCCGGAATACTCGGTACCACACGCAGGGACGCTGGCCTGGGGAAACCGAGTAAACGTGGCCTTTCCCCCTCGTTCAGCAACACCCCGACCCGCCTCCAGTCCCAAGAGGAAGCCAACGTTAAAATAGGCGGTGCTGACCGTGGCAAAGGCAGGTAGGTCCTCCTGGACAGAACGCGATGGGGCCTCTGCTGGCTCGGGGCCGGCAGCCCAGGGTGTGGGGACTCTGGCAGCACAGATGATAGGCTGGACGCTGGGAGGACGTGAGAGGAGCGAGAAGAATGTCCACACAAAACCAGAGCCCTGAACTGGGGCTCAGGCGAGGGAGTCCCGGGCCAGGGGGCTGTCGAGGCAGGGTGGCAGGGCAGGACCCCGCTTGGGTACCGCTGGGTATCAGTTGGGGGGGGGGCGGGGCCCTCCCTCGGTGCCCCCAGGGCTGCAGGGCGAGGCCAGAGGTCCCCACAAAGGTGGGGTGCAGAGTCAGGGCGCCAGGGTTGGTGGAGTGGCCGTCCCGGTGCAGCCAGTGAGGCAGTGGAGGCATTTGGCCCCTCTCAGCCCTTCCTGACGGTCCTGCCCCTCTTCACGCTCTCTGGCGAGAATGGAGTCTGGTCCCCAGACCCCCCAGTCCCAGCCCACAAGCCTGCCCTCTGCTCCACCAAACGCAATCTGCCTCTCTGCTCAGCCCGCGCCCATCTCCCCACTCAGCCAGGTTCTTCCTGTCGCCACAGGCTGGTGCCATCACCTGTCACCTGCTGTCCCCCTGGCTGCTGTGTCGTGTCTAGCCCTCAGGAATGCCAAGCACGAGGATCCCTGCTCCAGAATAAGAGGCAGAGAAGCCCCACAGCCTCCAGCGACGGGCTCCGACTGCTCTCAAGCCACGGCAGCACGCGTCCCCTTTCCTGACCCTGTCCTACATCAGACAAGCGCATGGCGGGCGCAGGGTAGAGAAGGAAGACAAGCTCCAGGAAAAGGAGGGAAAAAAACAAGGGACAGCAACTTACGTCCCCCCGCAAACAGGAACCCCAGCCTTGGGAGTAAACCGCCGACCCTGGGAGAGGGGATTTCACATGCAGTTTCTGACCTGGACACCCTGGGTTCGAATCCTGCCTCTGCCCTTCATGATCATGTGACCCCGGCAGGTGAGGTAACCTCTGCGCCCCTCCGAATCCTCGCGTGTGACACAGGGCCGACAACCCTACCCCCTCACGGGCTTGTTGCAAGCACCTGACGAGATGACACTTACGAGGGAGCTTACTCACATCACAGAGGAACACTCACGAAATGGAAGCTTTTACTAAAATGTGTGTCGTGGGATTCATTCTCTCCCCGCCCCCATCTTATAGCTACGCCGTAAGGAAAAGGGGCACAGGCAGGTTCTGGGTGATTTGCCTAGAGTCGGAGGAGCTGGTAAGAGGCAAAGCTAGGACTGAGACCCTGGGCCGTCTGGCTTCCACGTTTCACACCGCCGCCCCTCCGGCAGGCTGAGCAGGCCTCAGACCACAACCCAGCCTCCATCCTTGCCTGTACCCTCTGCCCCAGGGAGCAGCTGGGACACACGCCCACTGCCCCAACAGCCAGAGTCCATCTCAATAGCATTCGCGGTCTCCTGGCAAACCCGACCGCACGCCCGCTCCCTCCTGCCCCGTGCACGGCACGGCCTATCCTTCCTGAGTTAGGAGAGGCTCGCCATTAAATGCTCTTTATGGCTCACCATAAAGCACGCTCTTTCTGTGACCACTTACACAGGAGGAAAGCTGGCTGTGGCCGGCGAGGGCCATCCCCCAAACCATGGACTTCCCGTGACTTGAGACAACATTTCGCCCGGCCTGATAAAGTGCTTTCCCGGGGGCAAACGAACCAGCCTCTCCAGCTGCAAAGCCGAGTCTACAGGGAGAAAAAAAAAGGGAGAAAAAGCAGAGCAGAAGAGAGCAACAGAGAATAAAAGGCAGAAGGGCCAGCAGCCACAGACAGGGGCCTCCCACTACTAAGGTGCAGTTCCACGTTTAGCCACAGGGTGTCGCTCCATCCAGAGATTCCCGGAAGGAGGGGTGGGAGCCACAGAATCCTCCGAAAGCACCGGATGCCCCACCTGGTCTCCAAAGCCCCACCTGGTCAGACAGTCCCTACACCACAGAGTTGACAGGCCAGTTTACAGGGAGTCAGGCCTCGGCTGCCTAGAACCAGGTTGGCAGGCAACACTGGATTTTTTTTGGCGGAAGCCTTTATCAGGAGAGGGTCGATAGGATACCAGTCTGTTCTAACACCTGATAAATCTTGTTGCAACAAAGCCAGCAGGATTTGCAAGCAAGTTCTGGAACGGGTGCTTGAAACGGGTGGGCTTTTGGAAACGTTCTATCGCAGAGGTCGTGTGCGTGTATGTGTGTGCGTTGTGGTTACAGCTGTTCTGTTGTGGGAGTGACATCACAGGAATGCGGACGTTTCTGCATGCTGGCCCCCGGCCCCGGTAGCACTGTCATCTGGCTGAGCCCTCCGACCTCCAGAGGTGTCTGAGAACCACTCACTGCTGAGCCTCCTGCCTCCAGCTCTGACCTCCAAACCCTCTCCTGGGCCTTCTCTGTGCCCCTCTTGGCTGCCACAGTACCAAAGCCACAGGATGGCTCTCCCGGTGCAGCTCACTTTCCGTCCGGGATGAAAAGTCACCCCTCTCCCTCACAGCACTGCCCATAGGGCATTCCACTGAGCAAGTATCTGTCCAAAAAGCCGACTGCTGGGGGCCTTGGATGCGTGGATAAAAAGTACCTACAGGGACTTGTAACATACAGCAAACTCTGTGGGACCAACGTGCCTTAAGGGAGTGAGGACACCTTTCTGGGCTTCTGGATGGTCAGCAGGATGAGCAAGCGAGGTCTCTGTCACCCCACTTTGTTCCAAGAGCCACATAGAGATCACGCATTCTCCCATCTCCTTTCTCAAGTGCTACCGAGGAAGAAAGCAGTTTTCTGGAATATTCATTTGAACAAGAGGCCATGATCATAGGGACCAGAAACCCAGTCAGGGGAGCCCCCGGTTCTCTACGTGGAGATTTACCTTAAAGACATGCACTGTAATGGAATGAATGCCACTTAGACCGTGATACTCCGGTAAGCACGGAAATAACTAAAAACTACTCGCGAGGTTCACGGTCTACTTCCTGCCCGGGGAAGACGACGGTGGTTCTCTGCCACTCCTGGCCACGCCGTGGACTGATGGCGCAGGAGGCCAAGGTCGGGTGGGCTTGGGGGAGGGGGAAGGCAAGGAAAGAAATCTTGGAAAAGACTCCGAAGCTCCGGCATTGTAGAACATCCGAACCAGAGAGGACCCAGAAACATCCTCTCAGATGCCCTTGCTTGTATGGACACTGGAGCCAGAGGCCACACGGCAAGTCTGTGAAATCGGGGCCTCCGGGGGGCCCTGGCCCTCCTCTCCACCTGCTTCTCCTGAAGTTAATAGGGGCTGAGTCACCCCCCGCCCTGGGCACAAGTCCTCTTTCTTGCTCCTCAGACACTGAAGACCAAGAAGGAAATGAAAAGGAGGACCAGGTGAGAAGGGAGCCCAAAGGGCCCTCAGATGGGGCATCCCACCCTGTCTGTGGGCCCCTTTCTCTCTCTTCCAGCACCACCTTCCTCCCATCCCCACGGCAGCAGCTGCTACCACACCAGGAAGCCCCTCAGCTCCGAAGTGGAGTCCATGGAACTGGCCTCCTACAAAGATCACTGTCCTTCACGAGCACAGGGCCAGTCCTCAGAAGGACACGGGGGGCACCTCAGATCCTGGCAGCTGCTGAGACCCTCTCCAGCCACTCTCCTCCTTCCAGCTGTGCAGGCAACTTCCGGCGACTCCTTGCTGCCTCCCAGTACTATCCTCTCTGGCCCCCTCACCCTATCCAGGCCGTTCACTCCGTCCAAGAGGCCCATCCCCCATCTCCAGCTAATACTCAGTCCCAGTACCATTTTGCAGAACTCTGTGTATCCAAGCAGGTGTCATCTTATATTCTCAGTGTTCATGTTGCCTTCTGTAATGCTATACTCTAAATTCCATTTCCTCTGGCCGTTAGAGGAAATGATGAGTCCGCCTGGCCTTGGCGGGGGTCTGCAGTCTGCTTCAACCACCGCACTGGGTGCTCTCTGAGCGTAAGGACTGTGCCTTTCTCCTCCTGGTATTCCCAGATCTTAACATGATGCCTGGAGTAGGGCAAGCATTTAAGGAATGTTGGGTGGTTGGTTGGTTGGCCGGCTGGCTGGCTGGATGAATGGGTGAATGGATGGATGGACTGATAGATGCATGGACGGATGGACTAGTAGGGGGTAGATGGGTAGTGGATGGATGGTTGGGTGAGTGGATGGATGGATGGACGGATAGACAAGTAGGAGGCAGATGGGTAGCAGATGGATGGTTGAGTGAGTGGATGGGCGGATGGATGGATGGATGGACAAGTAGGGGGTAGATGGGTAGCGGGTGGATGGTTGGGTGAGTGGATGGGTGGATGGATGGATAGATGGACGGATAGACAAGTAGGAGGTAGATGGGTAGCGGATGGATGGTTGGGTGAATGGATGGATGGATAGATGCATGGATGGACGGACAAGTAGGGGGTAGATGGGTAGCGGATGGATGGTTGGGTGAGTGGATGGATGGATAGATGCATGGATGGACGGACAAGTAGGAGGTAGATGGGTAGCGGATGGATGGTAGAGTGAGTGGATGGGTGGATGGTTGGATGGGTGAATGGGTGGGCAGACGGATGGGTAGGTGGTGGTTGGGTAGGGGGAATGGTGGATAGGAAGGTGGATGGATGGATGCCTGGATGGATGAATGGATAGACGGATAGATGGAATAGCGACACATGTGCCCCAGAAGTAAACAGAGATAATCCATTTCATTGACAAGGGAGAAGACTCCAAGCACAAGCATCGAGAGATTCCTAGCCAGCCTGCCCTGCCAAATGAGTTTGTCCAAAGGTAACAGGTATGCCACATCCAGAAGACCCATTTATTATAAACAACCCGGGTGGACCCCTGGTTAGAAGGAAACAATCTACCCTGGTGGCTTATAGGCGATTCAGAAAGCTTAAAAAAAAGGGGGGGGGGGAGGTGGGGGAGCAAATGTTTCGAGAATTTGCACTGGGAGTTCCTAGGAAAGCAGTCCTGGATCATGAACTCTGGGACAATTTGACACTCATGGAAACTTCCTTGCACCCTCGGCCCACAGTGCTCACCTCCCTCCAATCCTAACTACACAGCCCAGCAGGAGCTAACCAGACAGGGCTGTGACTCATCCAAGGACCAGAGCTAGGTGTGTGTGTGTGTGTGTGTGTGTGTGTGTGTGTGTGCATCCCCGGCCCCGTGCCTCGAGGTCATGCTTCACGTCTCGTGGGCGGTGGCTGGCACCCTTGTTACTTTTCTGTGAGTGTTAAGCCTTGTCTCACCCGAGGCCGGGACCCACCCACTCCTCTCTGTCACCCATGCAACCCTCACAGCGCCAGTCTGGCACAGAGGCTGCCCTCCAGAAAGAGGCTTCTGCGTCCCTGGCAACGGAGTCCTCGAGGAAGTGGGGAGGAGGCGAGGATAAGCCCGTGACGTCGGATTCGGTTTCTTACCCCCCACGGGCAGACCCGATCTCCTCACAGCTTTACAGGAGGGAAGAGACTTTATCCCCCACTCCCACCCCCAGGCTTCTGCCATGGGATGAGCAGCCCTAATGTTGAGACAGAGCCTAGAAATGAGACTCCCTCTGACTCAAAGCAACTCCACGCTTCCCACCCGTCTCAGGACAGGCAAGTAAAAGGCAGGTTGGGGCAAGTGGGTCTGCATGCTCTTTAAGAATCTATCCTTCCATTTTTACAGAAAACCAGCCTGTCAAGCTTGGGGAAACGGGCCTACCTTCTGTCCCACGAAACCCCAGTGTCACCCAAGGAAAGGTGTAGCCACAATCATCGCAGAGAAGCGCCCCTCCCTCCGCCCCCGTCCCTCTCCTCCTGGGGAGGGGCGAGCGGATGGCTACAATTCTCTGAGCTGGTCCAATGGGGAGACCCCAACCGGCGCCCCGGAATCGAGACCGGGGGACGGAAGATGGGGTGCAACCTGCCAGCCTCCCACGAGAGCCCCCACCGCCCCCCCCACCCAGCACCCCGGCGGCATCCAGACAGGGCTAACACCCCAACACCGCCATCTGAGAGGTGTCCCAAATAATTTAAGCAAGAGGAAATTGAGGCGGTTCCTTTCCACAAAGGGCTGCATAAACCAGAGCTTTTAGCCACAAAATGGTGTCTCTTGCATTCACACTCCAGTGAGCTTTCTTGAGTGAAAGGGAGAAACTAAAGAGAATCAGAGCCAGTGATCTGGGTGTGGCTCACAGCCATAGGGTTTCTCCAGGGACGCCGGGGACACTTGGGTGCCATCTGACAGCTTGACAGCTGGCACATATGTCTAGAGATGGGCCCGCTCCGTCACTGTTCGCAGACGGCCCACTGATGGGGCACCGCCTCTGGGCCAGCTGTTCCCACTACATTGCCTGTAACCCTTACCTCCATCTCACAAGGAGAGTAGTTGGGTTGGCCCCATTTTACAGATGAGCAAACTGAGGCTCAAGGAGGATACGCAGCCTGCCTCGCAATAGGGCCAGCATGAAGCCAAGTGTGGAGTCCCCTTGAACACCCAGGCTTCGTGCCCATGAAGCGGGTCCTGCCAGCCGCGGGACGTCCGTGTGGACCCGAGCCCCCAGGCTTCCGAGAGCCCTTCCACTGAGCCTCCCCCGCCCTCTGAGGTGCAGTGGCCGGGTACCTGGAGTAGCAGGAGAGGCCGGTGCTGATGATGGTGTTCAGCACGGCCAGGGGCACGTAGTAGTCATGGAAGGTGGTGTTCACCATCACGTTGGGGATCGAATAGGCAGAGTAAGCGATGGCTGAGCCTGGGGAAGAAAAACCAGCTTTGGGCGGGAAGCCAGGACGCAGCACAGTCTGGACTCCTCGGGAAGACCAACCCCAGCATCTGGCTGAGCCCTCATTATCCCCAGGGACCATGAGCGTCCTGCCCTCATACCTTGCCTGCGCCACTGCCCCTCCCGGAACGTCCTCCCTCTCCTCCCTGCCTACCCCAATCCTACCCTGAGAACTTACTCTGAGCCCAGCCTGCCCCCCCCCCCCGGGGCTTTACACACGTTGACTCGCAGAAGGTTTACCATCACCCTGTGACATAAATCCTGCACTCATCCTCATGTACAGATGATGAGACGGAGGCACAGAAAGGTCTAGCAACCCACCTGGGGGGCACCCAGCCAGAAAGCAGCAAAGCCAAGCTTCAGCCTGAGGCAGCTCAGTGAAAGCCCCCACTGTTAACCACATGCGGTGGCCCACGAGGACCCCTCCACGTGCTCAGATTTGCTCTGAGTGTGCACATCTCACCTGCCGATGACGCGGGGTGCCCCCGTGGGAAGGTGGATGTGGCAGGGAGGGAGGGCCCTTGCCGAGGCAAGGCATACCGTGCCAGTGCGCTGGGGGACTGGCCAGCTCACGGGCGGGTATGAGAGGCTAGGCTTGGTGTTCCGTTGCCTTAGGTCTGGGAGTCTGTGACACAGGGGTTACCAAGGGCCCTTGAGAGACCTGTCTGCTGCAGCTTTTACTTGAAAGGACAGGGGAGATCGCTGTCCTTTTCAAAGGGGCCAGGTGTGTCCATGGGCCTGGCCCAGAAGCCCTCTCCAGCCACCCTTACCAGGTCTCCTCTGGGAGGGGAGAAGACAGTCCTGGGCCTGTCAGCCCAGGGCCTCAGGGGTCAGCGCTAAGCTCACCTGTTATTCCAAAGATCTAGAGAACGGTGAAATCCCGGCTCAAGGCTGAAGCAGGCCTGGGCCACACAGGTTCACCTCTGCCTCTGACCCCATTTAACAGATGGGAGTCTGATAAAGCCAAGGGGTGTTCCCACTCGGGGAAAAGAGCCAAGATGGGATTTCAGCTGGGAACTGACTCCCGGGGCACAAACTCTTCTTCGCCTGATACACCCGGGGGGCTCCATCTGGACCAGATGCACTTGCTCGGCGGGGGGCCAAGGTGCATGCAAGCTCCGTGGGTGGGACAAGAGCGGGGGGACCTCAGACCCTGCCCCCAACCACGGGGGGGGGGGGGAACGAAATGACTTCCAATAAGAAATACATGTTTGGTCTCCTCCACTGTTCCTGGCACAGAGCTCCTAAAACCCCTGGAATTTCCTAAGCGAGGACCGCCACAAAGGTGTCTCTCGTTCTGTTAGTGAGATGACTTTGGAAAGCCCCTTCAGGATGGGGCCTGGATTTCTGGAGACCAACCCTGTCGCTAGAGGGTTGGAAGCCTCAGGCCCGCACCCCCGACGCCCAGGAGGGGAGAGGGGCTGGAGGTGAAATCAACGGTAACTAATGAAGTCTCCATAAAAACCCAAAGGGAGAGGTTCGGCGAGCTTCCAGGTGGGTGAACACGTGGAGATTCAGGGAGAGGGGCGTGCTCGGTGGGTGTAGAAGCTCCAGGCCCCTCCCCAGGCCCTACCCTGGGCGTCTCTTCTATGCAGCCGTCCCTGAGTTATAGTCTTTTATAACAGACCGGTAATCCAGTGCGTAAAGTGTTTCTCTGAGTTCTGTGAGCCGGGGTCACTGAAGCCTTGGGTCTATAGACAGTCTGTCAAAGGCACAGGTAACAACCTGGGCTTGAGACAGGTGTCTGAAGGGGGCGGAGGGAGGGGGTGGTCAGTCTTATGGGACTGAGCCCTTAACCTGTGGGAACGGTATCAGAAACGAGTTGAACTGTAGGACGCCCAGCTGGCATCCGAGAATTGCTTGGTGCAATTCTCCAAGCACCCCTCCACGCATACACACATTGTAAATGGTGCTCAGACCCCTTTAGAGGGCTTTCCAGGGAGCAGGAGTAGAGGCAGCTTTGGATCCCAGGCTAAGGAAAGGAAACATCCTCTTTGGGGCAATAGGGAGCCACGGAAGGTTTCCGAGCGAGGGATTGAGATGGCCAAAACCTAGTGAAAGTGCACAGGATGACCTAGAGGGAGGAACAGCTGGAAACCAGGGAGGAAGTAGGAGCAAATGCCATCCGGGGGGGTGGGTACTGAGGGGGTTTCCACACGGGCAGGAGGGGAGGCTGCAGACAAAGGGGCGGGGAGGCCGAGGTGGAATTCGTAGGCTCTCTCCACGGACTAGACCTCCCTTCCGTGTTCCCTGAACCGCTCCCACATCAGGCACTGGGCCACAGGCTGGAAAGCCAAATGCGAAGGAACAATGTCCCGTCCTCAGGGAGCCATCCTGAGCAAGGAGCAGCAATGAAGACATCACTGACCAGGCTGGGGCCCAGAGCCACATGGAGGGGCTCCCGGTCCGGGGGCTTGGAGGGGGCCGTGGGTAGGGGCCGCTGAGGCTGCCTTGAAGGCCTTGAAGGCCCTGCAGGGAGTGAAAGAGGAAGTTCTCTGGTAAGGTCCTGTGTGGGGGCACCAGACACCCAGGAACTCTTACAAAGACAGAAAGCCAGTGACGGGAAGGGAGACAGTTCAGGGGGTGCGGCTGACCCCTGGGGCTTGGGTTCTAACCCTGGCTCTGCCATTTGCAAGCTGTGCGACCTGAGTAACTCACTTCATGGCGCCTCATTATTCTTACCTACAGGGTGGGTACAGCGATGGCCCCCATCCCCGGGGACCGACGTCAGGGTTGAGCACATAATCGTGGTAATGGCTACCCTCCGATGCTCGCTCAGTGCCAGGCACTGTGTGGGGTGCTCTCCTTGGCCAAACTCGTTTCACCTTCATCCCACCCTATGAGGGAGATATGATGCCCATTTTGTGGCCCAGAGGACTGAGGCTTAGTGAGGTTCAGAAACGTGCCCGCGAGCATATAATGGTTAAGGGGCGGGGGTGGCCAGGCCACAAGCTCCTCCTTGTGCTGCCCCCCTCGTGATGTGTGTCAGGGGCTCAGCACGCAGCCTGCCGTGTCGTGATTTCTCCAAAATGCCTGCTCTTATCATGGGTCTGGGGCGGGTGATCGAGGGCTCCGGAAGCCTCTAGACTAAGGAGTGTGAACTTCCTCCGGGGTCACTGGGAATCCTGAAAGGTCTTAAGTGGGCGGGGTGCCATATTGGAAGGTGTTAGAGAAGGCTCCCAGGGAGGAAGCTGGCTGGAGTGGGGGAGAAGCAGGAAGTGGAGGGGAGGCTGTTGTCATGGTGCAGGGGGAGAGGCAGGCAGGGGGGTCTGAGTGAAGCCCACGCCGGGGAGCAATTTGAAGAACGTGGGGTAGAGACTCACTGAACGGCGTGGACAGGACGGTGGAGATGCACGGGCAGGGGCCTGAGAGGGAGGGGACTCGAGGGCTGCGTACGGATTCGGACTTGGAAGACCGGGTGGGGGTGTGACCACTAGCCAGGTGAGTCACTGCAGGAGGGGAGCAGGTGTGCCCAGGGGATGTTGGGGGGGGGGGGGGGGGAGGAGGACCGTCGCGGGCGCGGGGCCGGACGCGGCGTGGACCTCAGGTGGGCGGTAAACCAGAGATGGCTTTGGGAGTGCCCGGTCCAGAGGTGTCGGGGGATGGCGTGGGCACGAGGGAGATCACCCTAAAGCGGGACCCCGCAGCAGCAGAGGCCCAAGGACTGATGGGGAGCTTGCCCGCTGACGGCAGAGCAGAGGAGGGGAGCCAGCAAAGGAGGGTGAGAACACGGAGAGGCCGAAGGAGAACGGGGGAGTGATGGGAGGGGGGCCAGAGAAAGGGGAGTGGTTTGGGGCACACGGCGGGCCCCCCCCCATCAGAGGCTGGGAGAGCTCTCGGAAGAGGGGCCCATGAGGCCGTGGGGACCCGGCAGCCGGGAGGAGGCGGCGCCCTGGCCTAGGACAGCAGGTTGCTAAACTTGCCCAGATCTTGCAGGCCAACTGGTAAAACACGGCCAGCTACACGAGCGTGCAATTAAACAAGCACATCCGCCGAAGTAACGACTTCCAGTTAGTGCATCTACCGTCTCTGCACAGACGAACTTACTGCCTGACGGTGCACGACCGTGTGTCTCTCCCCGCCCGCGTTCAGGGACGTCTGGCTCCAAGTTAGCCGCGATGGGAGTCATTTACGCCGCCCGAGTTGGCCAACACCACAGAGCAGGGCCCTTGTCCCCAGACGATCGGTCTTTAGCATTTGCCAGCACACCCTTGGCCCGGCTGCTTACCGGACACTCACCGGGAACCCGGATGGGGCCCTGGCATCCCCGTGACTCTTCCGCAAGCCCCGGCAACACCTTCCGGTGGCCCCAGCTCCCAGGGGAAGGGGCGAGGGGCTCGGCCCCGGGCAGGGGAGGAGAGCGCGGGCCCCCACGTACCCAGGCTGAAGAGGTTGACGGCACCGTAGTCCAGGAAGTAGCAGATGTGCCGGGCGTTCTTGGACATGGAGTTGAAGGTATGCGCACAGCTGGACGCAAGCGGGTACACGCAGCTGGTGCCCATGTACACAAACAGAGGCCAGGAGTAGCTGTCATTCCAGATGTCTGTCACGTACAAGGCGGTCACAAACCTCCACGTGAAGAACCTGGAACACAGCGCGGCCCACTCGACCTCTGCGGCGGGGGGCTCCCCTCGCACCCCCCCCCCACCCCTCCCCGGACGCTCCGTTGCCCTCCATTGCCCTGGGACAACTGAACCCCGTGTGTTCTCACCTCGGTGAAACACCAGGCGTGACGGAGGGTGAGTGGGATCCTTTTGGGGTTGGAAGTGGGCAGGAGGGGCAAGAGGAGAGCATTTAGGCTCGTCTAGTCCGGTCTTCGCCCGGCCTTGTAACCACAGAATCTCTCTTACAGCATCTTGCCTGAGTCCTTCATTGAGCTGTGACACCTGTCTCCCCGGAATCTCTCCATTGGGTCAGCCCTGGTTGCCCCTCAACGGGACCGCGGGAGAACAGCCTATCCCATACCCGAGGCAGTCTTCGTAACCCTCCCCCACCTCTTTGAACGTCACATTAAATAACCTCATGACACTCAGCCACTGCCCATAGGAGTGGTCGGCCTTGTCACCATCCCTGTGGTTTGTCTATGTCCCTTTGCAGGAAGGCTCTTCAAAGAGAAGCATCCTCCCGGGGTGGCGGGGGTGCGGGGGGGGGGGGGGGGGGGGGCGCTTGAAAGTCTAGAAGATGCCAGGACTTTTTCTCCCTCCTCGCCATGCTATTCCCTCACTGCCACTGCAGCCCCCATTCTGAGTGGCCTGGTCCCATGCTGGGGCTCAGCTGAGCCTGGGTCTCTGGGCCCCACCCGTACACAGAGACGCGGCACAGCTCCGCCTCCCGTCTGCCTCACCCGCGACCCGGGCAAGGGGGGCCCTGCCTGCAGAGTTGCCCTCCGCCACAAACCACTCCTTCTAGAAAGCCGGCCCCTGTGCCCACTGGCTCTCCCACAGAGGGAGACTTTCTCCTGTCCCAGCAAACACAGGCCTTCGGCCATGTGCTGGTCTCAAAACCTGTCTTATCACCTCAAGATGACTCCCCGGCCCCACTTGCCCAGGGCGTCTCTCAGACCCTCCCCGCTCCGTGTCACTCAGCGGTGACCGCCTCTCTCGGGGGCCTGGCAGTGGCAGGATAGGATGTGTTACGCAGCGGGGGGGGGCCTCAGCCAGAGTGGCTCAGCTTTAGGACCGCCAAGAAGTCGCCCCACAGGGATCTGAGCACCGGAGCTTAAGACGCACAAACAAGGATGGTCAGGCCAGCGCCCCTGGCGGCACAAACTTTAAAACAGCCGAAATCACCCGTGGTCCCTCCACGCAGCCTGAGAGGTTTGTGGCCAGATGGGGATTGGAGGGAAGAAAGCCAGGGCAGAGCAGCAGCAGGGAAAGCCTGGGGGCTGGGGGTGCTCACATCACCGGGGGGGGGGGGTGCTCTGAGAGGACCCACAAGAAGCAGGTGACCCAGCACCTCCAGGGAGAACAGGGGCCGGGGGAAGAGACCACCGCCATCCCCATCTGCAAATTCTAATTTATTAGCATTTAAGGTATTTTTTTAAATGTTTTAAATGTTTATTTATTTTTTGAGAGACAGAGGGTGAGCAAGGGAGGGGCAGAGAGAGAGGGAGACACAGAATCCGAAGCAGGCTCCAGGCTCCGAGCTGTCAGCACAGAGCCTGATGCGGGGCTCGAACTCACGAACCGCGAGATCATGACCCTCTGAGCCGAAGTCGGCCGCTCAACCGACTGAGCCACCCGGGCGACCCTGGAGCTCGTGACATTTTAACCAGGCGCTGGAGCAGGGGAAGACTGGGGAGCCACCAGGAGCCCCCCGAATCCTACCAGAGTCCGTGTGCTAAAGCTCGCCCAGATATAGGCCCCAGCAACTCCCAGCTCCACGCCCATGCGCCATGGGGGCGTCCCCCAACATCCCAGCATGGAATCTCAGCCTTCCCAACCCACCCTGGGCTTTAACGAAGCCCCAGTCCCCGGGGCTCCCGAATGAGACGGCCGGTCAAGGGGGCTGGAAGGTACCAGAAGGGCAGCAAGTGAGTCCAGATGTTGAGGGTCTCATTGGTCATTTGGAAAAGGCTGAGGACGCAGGCCGTGGCGGAACTCTGTGGATGCCGGTAGCCAAAGAGGATGCCCTGCTCATGGAACACCTGCAGGGGGCGGAGAGAGAGGGGCACCGAGGTGAGGTGAGAGGGCGGCGAGAAGTCTCAGGAGGAGCAGCTTTGGTAGCACCTAGTGTCCTCTCGGGCTGCGCGCTTGAACCCTGAAGCCTGGACCCCTCGACCCCAAGTCCTTGAGCCGTCAAGCTGCTTCCCTCTCCCCGCTCCTCTCCTCCTTCCCGTAAGTTCGAAAATCCTTCCAGATTTCCAGAAGCCCGCAGCAGCTGGAGGAGAGAAGTTAAGACCCGGACTCCCTTTGGGAGCCCAGCCCGTCTCTGCATTCCCAGGCGCACTTACTCTTGTCATCAATATTGGCTGGTTTTGCGCCCTCTGCCTGGGGCCTACAGCCCAGTCTTTGGGTGCCTTCCCGGTCGTATATGCTGTCTGCCCGAGCCGACATGCCCTGGATGTCAGGGGCTGGTGGGAAGATCTCTGCAGAAGATCCCCGCTCAGTGCCAGGATATATTCACCAAGGCGCTTCATAAAGGCCTTTTGATGATGAAGACGGTGATGGCATTAGCCTGGGATGCGGGCAGAGCGGAGGCTGCCACAGCTGGGCCTGCGCAAGCCCCCTCCCCCACGTGGCCCACCTGGCAAGTCTCTTGGTCACCAACCCCAGGGGAGAGAGTTGGGCTGGTCAGCTCACATATGGGCGTCAACCCGCCCGGAGAGCTCCATTAGAGCCATTAAAAAGGGTAATTGTACGGGGCACCTGGGTGGCTCAGTCGGTTGAGCGTCCGACTTCAGCTCAGGTCATGATCTCGCGGTCCGTGAGTTCGAGCCCCGCGTCGGGCTCTGGGCTGACAGCTCGGAGCCTGGAGCCTGCTTCCGATTCTGTGTCTCCCTCTCTCTCTGCCCCTCCCCCGCTCGTGCTCGCTCACTCTCTCACTCCCCCTCAAAAATGAACACTAAAAAAAAAAAAAATTTTTTTTTAAGCACAAAATAGGTAACATGTACTATATCTTGAGGTTCTGAGTCAAGTGGAGAAAGTCAGGGGTTATTAGGATAGAGAGTCAAACCTGGGCCCCATGACCTTGAGCCAGCCACGACTCTCAGGGCTTCAGGGTCCTCACCTATAAAACAGGGAGTGCATTCCCTTCCTAGTTCAGTTCTGGGTTAAACTGGTCAACCAGGGGGAGGGGGACCCGTGAAGTTGGTTCATGGTCCAGTGGAAAAATACTATTTGAATTAGGTTTGGGTCTTAGCTGATTAAAGCGATTTGTTCCGGTTTCTGATTCACCGTTCAATTCTGCTGACGTCCCCGGTTTGCAGTGGACAGGCATCAGTCCCGGGCGGCAGAAATCCTGCCTCGCAGCTACCCACCCCCCACCCCCAGGGCTGCTGACAAGGAGGCAGGTGGGCCCATGGACTTCAGCTCTGTACCCGTGAGAGGAGGGTGGCCGTGCCCGGCGGGCATACGACAGCCCTGCAGCGGAAACTGGGGGTCTATTGTCCGTCTCACATTACAGTCTTCCCTTAAAAAAAATTTTTTTTGGAGGACGCCTGGGTGGCTCAGTCGGTTAAGTATCTGACTTTGGCTCAGGTCATGATCTCACAGTTCGTGAGTTCGAGCCCCGTGTCGGGCTCCGTGCGGACAGCTCGGATCCTGGAGCCTGCTTTGGATTCTGTGTCTGCCTCTCTCTCTGTCCCTCCCCTGCTCCTGCTCTGTCTCGTCCTCTCAAATATAGCATAAAACATAAAAAAATTTTTTTTCAAGTTTTTTTTTTTTTTTTTGAAGGCATTGGCCTCTTATGAAAATGTAAAATTTCCAGAAAGGAGCCATTGTTATTGATGATTCACTGCTTCACATGAATGAGTTTAGCAGATCTGTGCAGGAGGAGATCTCATGACAAGGGGCTCGCAGAGCACTGGGCATGTGGGGGGCGGGGTGGTGGCACACAGGGCGGGGTTGGAGGACAGTCTGGACACAGGGCCCACAGGTGGGCAGTGGACGGACAGGAGGGGAGGGGGAGACCACCTACATCTTGTTCTGGATGATTCGGGACGTGACTACTGTTCTCTCTTTGGATCAGAAGACGCTGACATAGTCCAAAGCCAGAGGGGAACAGACGGGCTGGGAAATTCACTCTGGACAACCGGACCACACTTAGGAATCTTGCCCCAGACCTGGCGCGGGTACTTTACCACCAACGCCAGGATTGGGCCCATGTTTAAAGAATCTCCTCTGACCTGCTATCCTGACCCCAGATAGGGATGGGAAGCTCACTAACCATGCTCTAGGGGCAGGATTTATTATTTTTTTAATTGTTTTAAATGCTTATTCTTGAGAGAGAGACAGAGACAGAGCATGAGCAGGGGAGGGGCAGAGAGAGAGGGAGACACAGAATCCGAAGCGGGCTCCAGGCTCCGAGCTGTCAGCACAGAGCCCGACGCGGGGCCCGAACCCGCGAACTGTGGGACCATGACCTGAACTGAAGTCAGATGCTTAATCCACTGAGCCACCCAGGCGCCCCTATAGGGGCAGGATTTAAAGCAGCCCCTCCAAAAAAAAAGGAATAAAGACTGGATAAAAGAAAGGGAGTCCCTCAGCCCTAGAACAGCGATGTTCTGACCTGCCCCTACCGTCCTCAACTTGAACCTCAGTTTATTAGGCCAAAATGCTAGACGCACTCTTGCCCCGAGGCCCTCTGAACACGGGAAAGGAGCGGCATTCTCTCCATCTTCCCGCCCTGGCCTTAGCAAAGTGCTCTGCACAGAGTAGATCTTAAAAGAGGACACGCTACATAAATCTAAACAACCAATGGGACATTTGAAAACAATTTTGTATTCACACCCAGTCTAACCCCACAAGGCAAATTGCAATCATTGCCTTAGTGCTCCAGAGCTGGGTCTCATTTCCAAACAGCCCTAGGTTAGCAGGTGCCGGCTAATTTGCACAGCAGGATTGATTTGTAGGAATCCACCCCGCATCCCTAGTTGTAGGCTAGGCAATTTCATGTGAAATGAAATCAAATTGTGTGTGCAGCCTATTATTTAGAAGTGAGAGCCCCCAGGTACCCGGGGTGGAAGGACAAATCAGCGGGTTTTCCTCTTAGTGCCTGCCAAGGCTTGGCTTCCCGGAAAGACCCTGTGCACCTGCCAGTTGAACCCAAAATTCCACTGTGACGCTTTTAAACCCTTGGTTTTTCTCGCTATTAAACTGCAAATCACCTGGGGAAAATAATCGAACATTCCGGCTAGCGGTAAATAAGGGTGGATTCTGACAGCCGGCCAAGAGGGTCAGGCGCTGTCGGTGTGGCAATCTACATTTCCCGTCCAAATCTCAGGGAGTCCTCATGACCTTGGGAGGGAGAGCCTTTCATTGTCCCCATTTCACAGAGAAGGAAACTAAGGCCCGGGGAGCTTAAGACATTTTCCCAAGCTCCCAGGAGTAGGGGGAGCAAATCTGAAAGCTGCATGCAGACCTCAGACTTCACTTCCTTGGCCTCTTACCCTTTCATTGCTGCTGCTCAGAAGGGCTCTTGTAGGAGACGAAGCACTCATCTTTAGGCCTGTGTTGTGATTTGGACTGTCAGGTGCTTCTCTGAGCCTGTTTCTTCTTCTTCGGGGTTATAGGCTGAATTGTGTCCCCCATAAAACTCACATGTGGAGGCCCTAACCCCCCAGTAACTCAAATGTGACCGTATTTGGAGACAGGATTTTTTTGAGAGAGAGACTGAGCGTGAGCAGGGGAGGGGCAGAGAGAGAGGGAGACACAGAATCCGCAGCAGGCTCCAGGCTCCGAGCTGTCAGCACGGAGCCCGACGCAGGGCTCGAACCCACGAGACCGTGAGATCATGGCCTGAGCCAAAACCAAGAGTCGGACACTCAACCGACTGAGCCACCCAGTCGCCCCCGGAGACAGGGATGATTCAAATGAGGCTATTAGGGTGGTCCTGGTCCAATCTGACTGGCGTCCCTCAGAAGAAGGGGAGACGGTAGGGGCGTGTGCAGAGGAACCACCACGTGAAGGAGCATCTGCAAGCCAAGGAGAGAGGCCCCAAGAGAACCAGCCCCGCCAGCACCTTGACCTTGGACTTCCAGCCCCCAGAACTGTGAACTTCTGTTTGTCCAGCCAGTCTGTGGCACTTTGCCATGGCAGCCCGAGCTGGCCAAGACCGGCAGGGACACCGGGTGACAGCGTCCCTAAGTCGGTGCCCCTCAAACGCTCTTGTGCGGGTGTCGGCAGATCGCCTGGGGTTCTTACGGCGAATTCGGTGGGACTGGGGGAGAATGTGCACTTCTCGCAAGGTCCCAGGGCATGCCGCCCGTGACGCTGCCCCTGGTCACAGCCCGTCCCCCGCCTCCGCATCCGACGGTCACCTCCCTGCCCAGAATCCAACTCATTGCAAAAGGGGGACAAGATGCGCCTGAAGACATGGGCATTAAAAGCCAGAGCAGGACAGAGAGACCAGTGAGGAGTTCAGTGAGGTGTTTGTGGGCGGAAGGCACGGAGATTATGGAGAAGGAAAAGGGAAGGCCACTAACTGATGCATCGGTTATAACCTGCCATTTAGTGAGCGCCTGCAGGACCGAGCTGGACGCTAAGCCACTGGCTCGTGCAGGACGGGCCGTGCTGAGTCCTGGCAAGAGACAGCACTTAGGATCTCAATTAAAATACCATAAAACCGCTTATACACAAGTCACGTGCAATTACGAGAACCACAAATACATTGAAGTGACAGCCAACCGTTGTTGGCATTAAGCGATTACAATTACAGGTGAATGTAATTTAGGACACCGGGGTCGCGTTTTTAAAAGCAGAAGTGTCCACTGTTCAGTCCAGTCGAAGGATGCTTTTTGCAGATGCACCACAATATTCATAGACAATGAAGCCGGGGCGCCTGGGTGGCTCAGTTGGTTAAGCATCCGACTCTTGATTTTGGCTCAGGTCATGATCTCATGGTCATGGGATCGAGCCCCGTGTTGGGCTCTGTGCTGACAGCGTGGAGCCTGCTTGGGATTCTCTCTCTCTCTCTGCCCCCCTCCCT